TGCATTATTTAATAGGCCGTACAAAGAAGTCATGTGATGTTCATATCAGATATTTAAATAAACTCAAATGTAGCAAACAGAAGGAACTGTCATGGAATGATGTCATAAACAATTTCCCCCCCAATAACTTTTTTATGTCTATTATGAACAGCTTGTTCTAAATGTACGTTCTCATCTCAAACTCCTAAGAATAATTTTTAAATTCTTCGGCGTTAATAGAAGACTAAGTTTACAAGATTTTCCTTATTTTATTTTATTAATTTTTAAATTTAGAATTTTTTAGAATTTTAAATTTAGAAAAAAAAAATAAGTCAAGTGAAGTGCAGGAAAAATGTGCATTATTTAATAGGCCGTACAAAGAAGTCATGTGATGTTCATATCAGATATTTAAATAAGCTCAAATGTAGCAAACAGAATAAATTGTCCTGGAATGATGTCATAAATAGTTTTTCTTTCCTCATAACTTTCTATGTCTATTATAAATAGCTCATTTCGAATACATGTTCTTAATCTCGAGCTTCTAAGATTTTTTTTTTTTTTTTTTTAATTCTTGGGCATTAACAGGAAGAATAAGTTCACAAGATTTTTCATTTCTTTGTTTTATTACTTTTTAAATTTAGAATTTTTATTTCCAAGACTTTTAATGGTAAATTTTTTCAGATATATAAAATTGCATTTTGAAGCTTTGAAATTAAAGATTTTTAGCAACTAAGAGACATATCATTGCTTTTGTTCGATGATTTTTACAGTGCTTCGAGAAAGTATCGTCCGACATGCATAGTCATTGTTTATAATAGACTAATGAGATTGTAATGTTCATGATATGATTAACAGCATAATCATTCTTAGAAAATAAAAGGTAAAAAGGCTTACCTTTTAGTCGATCTTCTTTCTCGTTCCAAAGGCGTATCCTGGAATGTTTTTATTAATTACATTCATCAAAAGACACTACTCACGCAAAAAGAGAGGCTTCTAAGATAATAAGATACTTAATTTACAAATCACATCACTAACCTAATATATATATATATATAACACAGAAGAGGAGGATTACATGTTTCACTCAAAACGTCCATCACGAGTTCTTAAAGTCAGAACCCTTTCAGGGGCGGTGGTTTCGCCTTGAAACCGCATTTTCAACATTTTTTTTAATTTAGAAATTTTTTTTTTTTCTCAAAACCGCTGCTAAAATTAAATTACTTCTTAAAGCTGATAACAGATGACAGCAGCAAACCTTTCTGGGCATCCATTAATTGATACAAATCATTCAAAAATAGCTTCTTTTGCACACTACTCTTTTTGACCCATTTTAAAAACAAAAAACCCAAAAATTTTTAATTTTTCCACAATATATTTTATAAGCAGGCATCCATGAGTAATGAAATATCCTTAGTTCACAAAAAAAAAGTAATGGAACCCTTTTAATTTTGAATGTTTTCATTGAGGTTTCAGTATGAAACCACCGCCCCTCTGAGACATCGAAGAAAGGATCAAATGACGCAGTCGCGAGATTTTTTGCAGTTGTGTTTATTGCTTTCGGATCACTGCTGTAACAGTTGCACAATACCTTCATTTGAGTGGCTTCAAAGATGAGGATTTATGGAGCTTTTGAGAGAGGGAAAACATTTCTTATTTTTTACAGAGACACAGAGCACACTGAAAACCACTCACAGTTGCATTTTTATTATGCGTATCTTAGCGGTCGCTTTTCTCATGCTTCTAGTTCATAGTAAAATAATTGTATGCATCTTAATTTGTTTTATTTTTACATATAATTTTCTTAGTTATAAACATAATTTTTAAAAATATTTCATAGTTTTATGCAAGTAATTTAATGCATTATTAGTTACTTTTTGTCTCATACTTTTTTGTTTCCTGTCTTAAATTTTTTTATTTATAATTAAAAATGCGTGTTTATGCAAATATTACTTACTTCATTAGTTGTTCAGTAATTTATTAGTGTAAACTGCAATTTGGGTTACGTTCAGATACTTTTCAGCAAAGTAAAGATAAATAAGCAAATGGTTAGTTTTAAATGCTCTAGAGGGGCGCTGGTTTCAAGGCGAAACCGGTCCTCTTTCCATAAAGGGGAACGAAAATTTTTTTTTAAAACTCATTTATGTTGTCTATAGGACCATTGCATGTCATTATGCTTACTTTTTCATAACTTTTAAAAAATCATAACGTTGCGCCCCTGAAAGGGTTAAAGAGTTCTGGTGTTTTTTTTTTTTTTTTTTTTTTTTTTTTTTTCTTTTCAAATCACGTGGTTGTCGGTGAGAGTTTCAACAGAGATCTTTCATCTATCTGAGCTATAATATTTAAGTTTCGCCGAATATAATACAGCATACGTCTTTAATGTTTTAATAGCTTTTCTTTTCATCTCATTGTATATAAAAAAGCGCAGTAAAGAACTCTGAGCTTTTAAAAGTAAAAATTTTACTGGCATTCCACACAAACACTATTCAGTTACAATCATCGATCCCGAACCCGGGCCCATCGTTACGGCAGTCAGAGTCAGCCGGTTCGGCGGCGTTCTGGCACATGAAGCTTTCTTTCTTTTGTAGATGCATTATTGCTTAGACTGTGTGGAACATCCTAGATAATGACATCAGTAAAGAGACTACGAATGAATAAACCCAGGAAATATTTAATCTTCAAGTGATTTGTAGTTCAGGAGGGGGAGAAATAGTGTTAAGATTCAAATGTTAATACTCCAGTTTTATAACAAACACTTAACTGCTGGAATTATGGAAGCAGGAACCGACTCTATGAGAATCAATATAACTCAACCCATCAGGCATGCTGCTGGTATTTTTTAAGTTGTATGTAACTAGGGGCTTATTTTCATACTCTAACATTTTACTGGAGATAATTTCTGCTGAGCTGAGAAAATTACTTTAAGACCTAAAACTGGTTAACGAAAATAAGCAAGAGTTAAAATGTGAATCTTCGATAATTAAATCTAAAACAAATATTGCTGTGTGCGTGCGGAAACGAGCTTGATAAAATTTAATTGGCCAAAAGCAACAGTTCGGAAATCTTGATCTTTTCACAAAAATATTCGTACAGCTGTTCGCTGTTCACGGTATCATACAGTACAATCAAGAACATTTCAAATTTCTAAGAACGTTAAACGCAAAGCAATGCAAAGCGTATCTAAAAAGCGACGTTAACGGGGAGATATCTCAGTACTCCGAACCACGCTAAAGTAAACAACAACTACGGGTAAACTGATGCTCTGCCCAGTCTTTTATAGTTTTCTCCCGGCCGTCGAGAAATCTCTAGTACATTACACTTCATGAAATGACTGGAAAGCACACGATGGCCGGATATGGTTATAGTTGCATATAGGATCAATTAAATTTCTCCAGTTACAATAATCATTGCAGTTATACAGGGACTGGACCAAAATGTTGCCAAATGGCCGAAATTTGGCGACTTTTAGATATTTCTCGCCAATTCAGGGATATAGGCATTTACTCCATGTTAAATAGCCTTGTCCCTGCAGTCTTATTTTTTCGGCAGAACAACTTCTCTTTCAAGAATTTCATGTTGTGTTATACAAAAGTACTACAATTTCACATATAATTTCATTATTTAAATACTTTCAAAATTCGTAGCAGTATTATTTACGAAATATTATTTTTTACATTGCTTGCCGTTTGTACGGTTAGTAACCTAAAGTAGTTATCCTAAGATAATAATAACAATAAAACCCCCATATGTAAGGATTTTAATTTATTTTGGAAAAGGCGAATAAGAAAAAATGTGTGCGAAGTTGACGTCTTAAGCTGATCAATATTTATTAATATTTAATAATGATTTTGCTCTAAATATCGTATATAGTGGAGTTTTTGCCTAATGTCATGAGTTGATTTATTTTGATACTTTACTGCTCATTGTTGCTCAAAATTTAAGTTATATAACAAATAATAAAACAATAAAATAATTGATTCACTTTCGTTTATTTTCATTTAATATTATTTATTTATTATTTAATTTCCTTTAAACTTATCAAAACTTATGTGCAACTTTAAAGTTGAGTTTCTTTGCTACTATTTAAATCTGCCATTTTCATTCGCATGCCTTTCATACCGCAGTGAATTTCAGGTGTTCGGGTATTTCATTTAATATTAATAAATACTGCGTTTATTGATAACAAACAGTTTAAATTTGAAAGCAAAATTAAATACTATGTCCAAATAGCGCAACACTGGTGAGTAGAAGATAAAAGTATTTTATGTCGGGCAGTATTAAACACAGTTATTTGAAACAGCTGCGTTGAAAGAAAAGTATCTTACCCTTTGATAAGAGACAACACATTGCTTTTAAATCGCTGAGTTCGCTTATCCAAATATCCTTTAAATCTCCACAAACCAAAAATAAATAAATAAAAGAATTTCGAAATTCAAAATTCGGTTTCATAATGCACATGTTCGGATAGAGGCATACATGTGTTCAAAAATTGGTGGCTTTAGTTGCCGTCTTTTTCCCTCAACGAGAGAAATTAACACGCAGACAGGAGTGTAAAGAGATAGTTTATTATTTAAAAGAAGTTCAAATGCAGCTACATAAACCCTTCTAAAGAGAAAATTTAATCCTGGAAAAGCTGATGCAAAATTGGTCATCATTTTTATTCCGACAACTGTAAAAGAAAACGGAAAACCTTCCAAATAATTAATAAGCTTTTTTTCTTTAATTTATTTTTTCTTACGGAAAAAAAAAACTAATTAAATAGGATTATTAATTACCAATCGAGATTCAAAAAATTAATTCTGCAGGAAATTTGAAAGAGAAATAAAAGCGTAACTAAAATGATAGAACATTCCATTAAATAAGAATTAAATCTGGTAAAAATCATGACAGCATTCGTACTGTCTTGCTTATTTAGCAATTTCCTTCTTTGCATTATCAATGCCTTATCATTTCAATGATAGCTATATTGCAGTATATATATATATACAATTTATTCCTCTTCGGAATACATTTCGTGTCGAATATGATGGAGTACCTAAAGGGATTCAACGCCATCGCCCCAATCCTTTTAGGAATTTTTTTGCTAGCTTTTGTCACCTTGCATTGGTGGTACGGCAAAAGAAGGTACAAACTTCCACCTGGCCCCATCGGTCTGCCTTTTCTTGGATATTTACCATTCATTGAAAAAAGATCTTTCATCACATTTACAAAATTAAGTAAGAAGTATGGAAAAATATACAGGTGCGCTGCTTTTTTATATTAAGGTTTGTTTTGCAAATTTTGATATCATATATTACAGATTTTCAGTTTAGTAATGTTAGAATTTTTTTTTTTTTTAATTTTGTCTTTTAAATAAAATGCCTTTGAAATTTATGAACTTTTAAAAATGGGTTTATAGGTAAAATAAATCAATAAAATGGGATTTAATGTTTTTTGACTCTGTGCGCAATTCTCTGCTTTTAGATGATTCATTCAGAGTTTGATTTGTTGAGTTTTGTAACACTAATTTAGAAATTTTCTCCGTTTGGAGAAAAGAGGGGGACAGTTCTACGTCTTTCATTCTAACTGGCCGATCGACAAAATTTAACTTGCGTTTTTCATGTCTCGAAAGCGCTAGTTACGATGTATTTTCGGAGACCACCAGCGGCCGAGCGGTAAAGTCGCTAAACACTGGTAGTTCGGTCCGAGGTTCGAATCCCGCGAACGGGATAGCTGCATGGGTGTTTTCGTGATTTTCTCTATGTGTAACGTGTATACGAGCCAGTTTCCCCTAGAAATTCCTTCACGAAGGCATTCCTTCCCTTAAACAGATAGCCCTAAAGTGCTTTGCCATAATTAAATATATCGATATATTTTCGACTTATATATGACAATGTCCTAACATTTAGACTCAAAATTATACTTTTTTTTTAATGACGTGTCAATGTTTCCCCATATTTCGATTCTACGGCTCAAATTTTTGTCAAAGTCTCGAGGTTTGTAAAAATCGCAAAAGCAGGATTTTTTAATTAAGCACTTAAAATTTTAATTCGTAATATTAATTGAATTTCGCATATATTTTATAATATCGTTTTTAAATGAAACTTACTTCATTTCTCCTTTCCTAATTAGAAATTTAAGTTTAACCCAATTACAATTCATGCAGTGATTCTGATTTATACCAATCCATTCGGTTGGTTGCGAGATTAAGCTATTCCTCTCAAATGCGCGCGATACCTGTCAGTCGTAAATTTTTAATGCGAGTTACGTTCGTTTGCGCCCGCAGCTGTGCGTAAATGGAATGCGAGCTGAGCTCATTGATGGCTATCCAAAGAAAATTGAAAATTTGTAAATTTTTAGGAAAAGTTTTTTTTTGGGGGGTGATATGCGTGAATTTATGTACTTGCAAGTTTTGAAATGTAGCATACTTGTTCAGCTATGATATGAATGCCAAAGGTGGATAATGCAATTTGTTATATTCTTCAGTGAATTTCAGGAGTTATTTCTAACCTAAAATTTCAAAGAACGTTTACTGAAGATTATCCATATAGAATTTTTTTATCCTCATTTTTATTAATGATCGGTATTAATGATTTATTAATAAACAGGAAAAGTTAGTTTTAAATTTATAAAGAATATTAATAAAAAACTTCTTTTTTTTTTTTTTTTTTTTTTTTTTTTGTAAGAGTGAATTTTAATCTGCGAACATTAAACATGTGTTTAGATTAAGTAACATTAAGTTCGTTTTACAAGATGTGGTGCCAAAACAGGTCCGCAGTTTTCAATGTTTTGCAAAATAACTGACATTTACATGACCTAGAATTAAGCAGACCATTTTTGATGTTAGGTTATTTTGTCAGAAACCGTTTTTCCAGATGCGTTGTATTGCACGAAAACACATCTTGCCAGCGGTTTAATGAATACTTAGCAGAGCTTTTTTGCCCAGAAAATAAATACGACTACTCAGTCATCCGGCATTTTCTCGATTGGTCTCCTTTCGATCATTTTCGCCTCCCAGAAAAATTAAGTAGCTTTTCAAAGGAAAGTATTTTCTGACATAAAAAACATTAAAAGAAGTGAATACTCTACTCTTAGAATTCTGCCAGAAAAGTACTTTAAAAGCTTTTTGTCTATTTACCTGTTGTATTTGCATTAAGACAGAAAGTTGCATCCGTGTAAACACTGCAACGTTTCTATTTTTTAATACACTCTGATTACTTTATTGCCATTCTGTGAATATACACTAAAACTTCGATTACTTGAACTTCAGTTAGTCGGGATTTGTGACAGAATCGTTGTCAGAATTAGAAATTCGAAGGTTAAGTCAAAGCGAATATGGAAACAAGCTATTTCAGATTGATACCGATTCAAATTCAAATTTCTAATTTTTGTTTTTTGAGGCGTGTATTCCTTCAGTCTTAGCTCATTGAAATTTGAATATATTTGGACTGAATCTTTGCATTTTGCCAAAAAAGCGGAAATCTTATGCATTATATGCATAGTTCATAGCTCATAGTTTCAAATTAAAATTTAACAAGCTAAATTAAGTTTAAGAATTTGACAGTTTGGGTCATGTCTCAGCTTTTAGAAAAATATATGAGACATAAATTTTTACATTTAGAACGTAAATGTATTTAGAACGTAAACAAACATTTCGAAGCAAAAGATAGACTAATAATGGTTAAAACAGTGGCGGTATAAAGTTTTTTCTTGATTGCTCCAAAAGATATGAAACTTCCGATCTCGTGATATTCAAAACATGGCTTCACGTAAACTTTGGTTACCCCAACCGGTACGCTTATTTCGCAAGTGCACATCTGCATCGCCACTGAGGGAGTGGCTTCTAGAATCGACCAATGGGCTTCCAGAAATATTTTTGTCATTTCTTATGACATTTGTCGCGCTTTAAGCAAGATGATTGAAAATGTTTTGCTACGCAAGTTCCTGTAAAAAATAAGTGCGAAGTTAGATCAAATACATGAGCATATTTATGCACGTGAATAGCCATAATGTATAATAAATAGTATAATATATATTAAATAGTCTTAGAATGTTTTACTGAAGTCTATGTGAAAGAGATTCTATGGTAATAGCCAATGCACAGTTTTACTCAAAGTGAGCTTTCATAATTTGCATTCCTACATATTTAGTGTGTTAAATTTCCCATTAATTACTGTTCATTCTTAAAAGTATTGTCTGCACAAGAAATAACCATCAAAGAGAATAAATTTCTCTTACTCGCAACAAATGAATTTAACTTAATCATATATAATTTTTAATGTAAACAATAGGCATAATCAGATCATTCACAATATGCATTTTGAAGTTTAACTCCCTCTCAAAATCAAAGGAATGCAAGCATCGATATAAGAAAATATTAGATTTATTGTAACAGTTCCATTTCTTCTCAGCTCAATAAAAGAAATTATACACTTGAAGTCTCTTAATCCACAGAGGTGTTAGTAAATGCATAACAATCGATGCTAATTGTAGCGAGTCATTTTCTCGATATAAAGAGGGATACCATGACACAAATATTAATCGGAATATCAATGTTTGATAAATTTTGCAAAAGTGAAATGTTGACAAACAAATCAACATAAACAACAACATGCACTAATATGCACTATTTCAAAGATTCAACGTCAGAAAAGCAACAAAAGCTGACTGGTGCATTTAAAAAAAAAAAATAAAAAACCTCTCCTTCGGTGGTGATACTGATGTGCACTTGTGAATTATGCAACCGATACGATTGCTTTAGAGCGTTTCAACTGACTATGAAAACAAGTTTTACAGAATTGATTGCTGTTGCTGAATTTAGTGATCATCATTTTTCCATTTCGATCGAATAAAATTTTGTAAAAAAAAGGCGTATTACATAATGTTAGAAAAGCAACAAAAGCTAACTCGTCCATTTAAAAAAAAAAAAAAAAACCTTCGGTGGCGATACTGATGTGCACTTGTGAATTATGCAACCGATATGATTGATTGCTTTAGAGCGTTTCAACTGACTATGAAAACACGTTTTATAGAATTGATTGCTGTAGCTGGATTTAGTGATCATCATTTTTGCCATTTCAATCGAATTAAATTTTGTAAAAAAGAGGCGTATTACATAATGTTAGAAATGTTGTTTAATAACATTAATCATAAATTACATTCATTACAAGCTGTTAAAAACATTCTGAATGATTTTTATACGATGCACTTTGTTACATTAATGGAAAAAGGCACTTTTATTTTGTGGAAAGTAAATGAAAGATCTTAAGTCTCATCAACTGGCAAGAATTTCCTATTTTTCTAGAACATTAATTTATAATTTTTGTCTACAGAAGATATTAGCATCTGATTTCAGATGTTAAGAATCTTGGTTTTGAAAATCTACTGAAATCAAACTAAAAAATTACCTTTTAGTTCCTTGTACGAAGTAAAAAGGAAATATTGTAACCACGAAAAGTATCAGGCAGCATATTTTAACGAAAATATCCATTTTGACCGCTATCGAATGCAATTTAACGATGTTTTTGCGTGACATCTGTACGTAAAGACAGAATTTAAGACCCTTTTCCTCCAAAAAAAAATATAAAACTGCTTTAAAATGAATTCTGAAGAAAATTTTTCGTGACGTCTGTACGAACGTATATACGTACGTACGTATCTCGCATAACTCAAAAACGAGTAGACTCAGAACGTTGAAATTTTGTATATAGGACTGCTATAACATGTAGATGTGCACCTCGTATTTTGGTTGCAATCGGCAGCACCAAACGTATATAGATATATTTATATGTATATCCACTCTGTTACCCGGCTCAATGATCTCAGTTTCTTTACTCTTATATGTTTGTAAATTGTACATTTTTTGCTTTAAAAATGATTGAATATGTTATTCTCATCTTCCGGTTAAGGTTTTTATGCCTTTAGTAAATCTGTATGCAGGTATTTTTAGAATCATCACCAATTATAAAGTTGTTTAGGTGCCGCTAAGCGTAATAATGTTTTTGATGGCGGCCATTGCTTGTTTACATTTGAAACAGCAGAATAGTGGATTTGTTGCCAATCTAGAGAAACTTAGCTTAGCAATAACAAAGATAACGCCTAGATTTATTATTGCCATCTAAATCATTCTTAATCCTTTCTGGAATTTTTTCGAGGAAATAAGTGTTTAAGATTTACTTCGTAAATTTTAATATAGATATTTTGAGTTTTTATGTATTTTTGCCTTGCCGCGAAGTGAGAACTGAATTAATTGAATGAGAAATACCCAATCGTCTGTGAAAAACTGTTTCTTTTTTGTTTTGTTTGCTTGATTCCTTTTTGTACATCGTTTTAGATTTTTTATAGTATTTGAATAGAACATGTGGCAACGATTAGATAATTCTTTAAATGATATAATTTTTTTTGCATTCTGAGTTATAATATGAACGAAATATAATATTGTTAAGTGAACCTAGCGCCAGGGTGTCGTTATGGTAAACAAATATAGTGAATTTTAAAAGAGTGCATTTATTCTATTGTGGTTTATGCGCTGTCACGAAGTAGATTTAATTCAATCCAATAAGTTTAAATGAAATACAAGAAAAAATGCTTATATAATTTAATATTCAGTACAATAAAAGTCATGTGGTGTACACCTCAGATTTTTTATTTGTGTAAAAAAAAACATGTAACACATTTCTGTGTAATTAGTATATAACTATCATCAAAGAGATCGCTTATTGTTGCGAAATAAAACATATGATTAGGACACCACCACTTCCTTGTACGATCTATTAAATTATACACATTTTTGATGCATTTCATTTAAATTTATTTCCTCGAATGTCATCAGAAATCAATTTATCATTCAATTTAGTTCCTACTTCTCAGCAAGACAAAAAAGTACATAAAAACTCAAAGCATCTAATTGCATCATTGAACTCAAAGCATCATTGAAAATTATAAAATACAGAAGCAGATAAAAACCATATACGGTTAAAAACAATTTTAAAATACTTTTTTACAATTAAAATTAGAGGTTTTTGCAAAAGGAAAGAATTCGGTCAACGGGCAGAAAGATAAAATTTTCAGTACACAAACATTTGGAGTTAACTTCTATTTCTAGTGGGAGAAAAGACACTGAATTTGGTGCACTAATCGTTATAAACATATAAAGATAAAAAAACTGAGCTCATGGAGAAGGGTAACAAAGTGGGTACACATATTTATGTAAATATGTTGCAACCCACTGCAACAGAAAAGGGAGTGTGCGTAATTACGTACAAGTCCCCCATACAAAGTTTCAACGCTCTGAGACTGTTTCTAAATTATGCGAGATACATATGTATCTCGCATAATTTAGAATATCGTATATACGTACAGAAGTCACAAAAAATCGCTTCTGAATCCATTTTACACTCCGTTTTGAAAAAAATAAAAGAGTCCTTTATTCTGTCCGCGCTTACAGATGTCACGCAAGAAGATCGTTCAGAATGGATTCGAGATCGGTCAAAATGGATATTTTCGTTGAAATTTGATAGCCGAAATTTTTCGAAATTGCAATACTTCCTTTACTTCGTACAAGGAAATAAAATAATAAAATTTAAGAATAATACATTCAATATTAAAATAAAAATGTATAATCGAATCTCCTACACGTTTTTCTAGATTAACTTAATGTTTCTTTGAAAATAAATGTAATAAATACTGCATTACCTGTTCAAATTAGTTAGCTTTTGTTGCTTTTCTAACATTATGTAATACGCCTTTTTATTACAAAATTTAATTCGATCGAAATGGAAAAAATGATGATCACTAAATTCAGTGACAGCAATCAATTCTGTAAAACTTGTTTTCATAGTCAGTTGAAACGCTCTAAAGGTACCGGTTGCATAATTCACAAGTGCACATCAGTATCACCACCTAAGGAGAGGTTTTTTTTTTTTTTTTTTTTAATGCACCAGTCAGCTTTTGTTGCTTTTCTGACGTTGAATCTTTGAAATAGTGCATGTTGTTGTCAAGAAATGTTTTAGAAACATGTAAATATAATAAATTAATATCAAGTGAAATTTTATTTACTCTACAAAAATAAACGATACAAATAATTAGATTTCAGACATCTATATCATTTGGAGTTTTCGCGAAGTCTCAACTTATACTACTTGAATTACGTAATGTATTGTTATGTAACGTAACATTGCTGCAAATTATTATATACTTTTTTGAATTTATTTCCAGTTTGTATCTTGGGAGAGCTTTGGTCGTTGTACTCAATGATCATAAACTTATAAAAGAGGCTTTCAACCAGCAAGCACTTTTAGATCGCCCGCCACACTATTTTGATTTTCATCCTGGGGGCTTAGGTACGTTATAATTTTAATACTTGTTAATCGCTTTGTCGAAGATTAAGTACAAATAAAAATTCAAAAGTTTATATGTCTTCTTCTGGTAGATTGAAACTACAACACGAATTGGCAAACTAAAATGTTGATTACATGTTGAGAGTAAGTATTCAAGAGATATGTTTTAAATATATACAGGTGACAGGTGATGGAGGACGGGGACGCCTGACGTATAACATAGGTAAACAGGCATTTCGCCTACTATCAAAGAAACTTGTGGCCGTGCGAAGAACTGCCGTGCGTCGCTGTTTTCACGCTCCTCAATATTCGCCATTTTTCGCGTAAGTCCTCATAATTAGGTTGAGTAAATCATACCATACTATTGAGGAAGCCAAGACATGCGTTTTGATATATGGATTAAGCCTGTATCATCCATACGTAAAAAGTTATTAATTAATTTCTAGTTTACTCGTGGGAGCCCTTTGTGTCCGCCATTGTTCATGCAAGGGAAGAACAACATCGCTTTTTAGTCCATCATTTACTCTCAAGATTTATATCACCGGACGCGCAATCGTGTCAGGTTTTTCCTTGGAACTATTTTCGTAGTGATCAGATTATTATTACGTTAATTACGTAAGATTATTTAGCTAGCACGTGGTGTGTGATGAGTCATCTGTGAAATTGCAGGAAAAAGTACGGTTTCATCCCTGAACGTATTGCTAACTATGACAAAGAGCTCCAAAGAGATAAGAAAAGCTGGTGATAACAAAAGGTACTAGTGGTTTCTTCATCAGGCAGTTTCTCCAGTTTTTACAGCCCTTTTTTCATGAAAAAAAAGATGACAACAATCAGCGGAAAATGACGATTAAGGATTTCTAAATTAAAAGATTCTCCGTCAAATAGTTCAGAAAATATAAAATTTGGCTTATTTTCTCCTTTCTACCCACCGCAGCAATCCCCACAAGGAAGGAATCTACAACGTTCTCCTTTCCCCCCCCCAGGACTCTTACGAACAAAGAGCCTCTCCCACTACGTTTGCGGTTTTTATGACAATGGATATTCCTCAATTGTGCAGTCACTCTTTTTTCAATTAGAAAACGGAAACAGGACAGAGAAATTCCCTCTCAAGTCTTCCAGAGTACTTTAAAAGTGAACTTTACATCTCTATCGGTCATCTACTTCAATTTTAGTGCTTTTGGTGAAATTTTGATTTTAGTAACAGCTTGTACAGACTCTATATTGTGTGATAAGATTAGTGTTTCATTGTTTTCGCACTCTTTTCTTAACAAGAATTGAGAATTTTCTCTCTTGGAGATAGTCTAACTTACGGAAGAAGTACTGCTACCAAGGTAGGACTTTTTACTCTTTCGTCCCCGCTTCTCATTCTCCTTGCTTCTGTAATTGATTAATTATACCACAGGCATTGCATAGTTTTTAATAACAAACAGATTTGCTTAATTAACGCATGAATATATTCGGCCTAACATTTTTCATTTCATTTTACCAATGTTTTTAATAAGTTACATTCTTATATTAGTTACTTTTTTCATTTATTGCACTGAATAGAATCTATTTGTTCTTAACATTCTATTATTATGTTTGTACTTGTTTTTTGTTATATATTTTATATTTAACTCATCTAATCTGATTAGTAATTAATACTGGTATTATTCATCCTAAAAAAACAAAACAAAAAAAAAAAAAAAAAAAATTGGCTCTCTACGTATAGAAAGCATTTCCATTCAATTATCTCTGTACTACGACATTTCTCAGGAGTGTGTGCAACTTATCACAGTATAACTGTTCACAATTTATAATAGTAATTCCCTCATAGTCAGCTTCCAGCATGGCTCAAACTACACGTCCTTCGAGCCCAGTGTCCGTCAACTCGGAAAGTATGCTTTTACCACCGGAAAAAGCAGCAACAGTACGCCAAGAAACCGCATATAAGAGCCGTAAATCTTTATCATGCATGTCTAGATCTAGCCAGTACTAGACGAGGCGGAAAACGCATCATCCCACCAGGAATGTTCACAAAGCTTAAAAAGATGCTCGATGAGCTCAGAGATATTGCTACAAGTAATGGGATCAGTAACGTAAGCGACGTTCCGTTTCCGATAGGTATTCCGCATCCCTCCCACGCCGTCACATGTCAGTGCGATGATTCCACCACAGACTTAATTAATACAGAAACAATGCCGTCATTATTAGAGGATAATAATGTTCCTAAAATTTCATATGCTGATGCTGTAGCAAAGGTACCAAGAAAAAATAACCCAACTATTTTGCTATACCCAAAGCAAGAGCTAAAATGCCATATTACAGAGAAACTAAATCAGATCCTTCCCCTCAAAGAAATAAATGCCAATATTGATTATATAGCAAATATTAAGAATGGAGGCATCGCGATCAGCAGCACTTCAAAGGAAGAACTCAACAAGATTACTAACGCCATAAACGTTTCCGAAGAAGCAAATAACTTAATAGAAATAAAAACACCAAGGGTTAAAAAACCGAAAATCTCAATCAATAATATCCCGAATACGTTACCACCAAAATTAGTTCTCGAAGAACTAGTTGACCAACTAAGGATTGATAAAGAGGAGATTTCACCTCTCTTTTACACAAAAGGCAAAAACCCCAACACCATTAAGTGGGTTCTCGAATGCTCCCCTCGTACTCTATCAAAATGTATTGAACGTAGGAAAATTATAATTAATTGGAGCATTCTCCCAATCGCAGAATTCTACGGAGTGAGGAGATGCTACAGATGCCAAGATTTCTCACATTCTGGTAGTGCATGCAAATTTAGGACTTATTGCGCTTTCTGTGGCGGACCTCACTCCATAAGGAATTGCAAAGAAGACGTACCGGATTGTATCAACTGTAAACTGTTCAACTGCACATATGGAACCTACATCAATACTTCACATGCTGCATTCTCCCCCAAATGCCCATTATATCAGAGGGAAATCTCAAAAATTAAAGCTGCTGCAGTTTACACATCAAAGCAAGAAGAATAGTTAGCTTTACTACCTAGTTTCTTTTAAGTTAATTTAAACTTCCCTTTCTGTACATGAATCCATCAAGTACTACCGCCGCCCCTTCAAGTTCCCCAATCTCAACTGTTTACGACAATTTTACACAATAATTCGCCTCCACAGGACAAGCTTAGAATCCTTCAAATAAACTTAGGCAGAGGAAAAAAGGCGTCAGAACAACTTAGTGAAGTAATTGAAAATAACAATCATGATGTAATTTGCATTACTGAGCCGTATTGCGTAAAAGGTGAAGTTAGATGCCTTCCCCTTCACTGGCAAATATTTCAATCTACCGAAAAGGATCCTCTAGTTAACCCACGTGCCAGTATTATAGTCACCAATACCAAATGGTCCCCTACAATTATATTAAGCCATAGAGATGTGATGACGATAAGTATTAACTGTAAATCAGAACAGCTATTAATTACTTCCATTTACTGCTCACCACGAGAGGATATGGGGCCGAATCTCCACACATTAGAAAATATCTTTAGTAATCTCAGAAGATCACAGCACGTGATTACAGGTGACTTCAATGCTCACCATCAAATGTGGCATTACAATAATACAGATAATAGAGGACATACACTAGCTGACTTTATTGCTACACACAATCTGTATATACATAACCTCTCTTCAGACACTCCTACATTTGAAACAACAAATGGTAAAGGATGGCCGGACTTGACACTGTCAACATTGAGTATCTCCAATAAAATACAAGAATGGAAAGTTCTTGATGATCCAAGCCACTCAGATCATAACTACATCTCATTTGAATTATCAGAAGAAATCCCCGACCTCAAATTAAGAAGATTTTCAATCTCAAAGCAAAAAGCAAGGCAATTTGGAAGAAAAATCTCCACATGTCTTCAGTATGCGGAGAAACTTATAGATAAATGCACATCACCCGATGCAGTCCATGATTTAATGGAAACAATTATCAAAACAATACAGGAGACAGCGACCAACACATTTAAACTCCGTAACAACAACAAGATTACGAAGACTAACTGGTGGACAAAGGAATTAAGACGTGAAAAGCAACATACAAGGGCCCTTCGTAGAAAAATGAAAAGTGCTCCGGAAGGGTTGAAAATGGAAATATGGATAAAATACAAGCAACAATTAGCAAATTACAAAAAGAAAATAACTGAAGCAAAATTACGCAGCTGGAAGAATTACTGCTGTAGTAATAAAGATACATACGGCCAGCTGTATAAAATGGCTACAAGTAAAGTTTTTAGTCCCGCACATATCGGTCTTTCGAGAGATCAACTCTCACGTAACAGCCAGCTTGGTAATGTCACTGAAAAGATTCTCAACAATATTCTAGATGTTGTTTTCCTAAAAGATAATGCAGAAGACGATGGCCACTCACATTCCGACATTAGATACAATAATACCGCTCCAAATACTCCAGACGATGTGGAATTCCACTCACAAGAAATTTCAAAAATTATTAAGTATCTTCCGAATAATAAAGCTCCGGGACCTGACGGATTAGACAACAGGATTATTAAGATAATTCACCACGCAATGCCTTTTCTGTTCCACAAACTACTAAACCTCTGCCTCAAATTTTATGTCTTCCCGAATTGTCTCAAACAGGGACAAACAATACTATTCAAGAAAAATAATAAAGATCCTACGGATCCGGAAGCCTTCAGACCAATCAACCTCTTACCTGCAATAGGTAAACTTCTGGAACGTGCAATCGCGGGCAGATTACGCCACCACTTAGAGAAAAACGAAACCATAAGCCCCAACCAATACGGCTTCAGACCTCTCAAATCTACATCACATGCGATAGTAGAACTTCAAGAGCAGATCCGTAGGAATAAATCTTCAGCTCTCCATACAGCAGTACTCTGCATGGATCTCAAAAATGCGTTTGACTCCGTGTGGTGGCCTGGTATCCTTGAAGCCTTGCGCAACATTAAATGCCCTCAGAACATATTCAAGCTAATGAATAGTTTC